AAAGAAGCCGAAAGTAAGAGATTTCGAGAACCTTTTTACTACAATGAGTGATTTTGATTGCATTACATGCATTGCATTATGAACACTCAGTACATGCATCCATGAGAAGTTGTAACAAAGATAGAAATTTTCCATTTCTTAATGAAAAAATAAGATTTTGGTAAAGACAATGATCAAACAAAGGAATTCAAAAGAGAGAAATTTACTTGTTCAAAGATGAGAACTCAAATTTGAAAAAGATAAAATTTTAAAGTTGTGGAGCCTCTATTGAGAGGAGCTTTTTCATGAGATTTTAAAGTTGTGGAGCCTCTGTTGAGAGGAGCTTTTTCATGAGATTTTAAAGTTGTTGAGCCTCTGCTGAGAGGAGCATTTTTCATGAGATTTTAAAGTTGTGGAGCCTCTGTTGAGAGGAGCTTTTTCATGAGATTTTAAAGTTGTTGAGCCTCTGCTGAGAGGAGCCTTTTCAAGAGAATTTTAAAGTCGTTGAGCCTCTGCTGAGAGGAGCTTTTCCAGATGAGATTTTTAAAGTTGTTGAGCCTCTGCTGAGAGGAGCCTTTTCATGAAATTTTAAAGTTGTTGAGCCTCTGCTGAGAGGAGCCTTTTCAAGATAATTTTAAAGTCGTTGAGCCTCTGCTGAGATGAGCCTTTTCAAGAGAATTTTTAAAGTTGTTAAGCCTCTGTTAAGATGAGCCTTTTCAAGAGAATTTTAAAGTCATTGAGCCTCTACTGAGAGGTGCTTTTTCAAGATAAAATTTTAAAGTTGTTGAGCCTCTGCTGAGAGGAGCCTTTTAAACTTTCAAAAATATCGATTGAACCTCTATTGAGAGGAGCCATTTTCTGTCGAACCAAAAAAAAAATTTTTTTTTCTTCTCAATGTTTCATCTTTCCAAGCAAAATGGTTGTTTATTTGTCTTTGCCTTATTCCTGTTTCATAGAAATAGGCAAAGAGGGGCAACTGTAAACACCATTTTTTTAAAATTTTTATTTTTATTATTAAAATTTTTTTCTCATTTCTGCGTTTGTCTTCTTCTTCTTTTCTTTTTCCTTTTTCTTCATCCTTATCTGGTTCAAATCTAGTACACAATCCTTAAAGTCAAAAGCACCATTAATAGCTGCCAACGACCAACAAACCATCAATCACGGACGGTAGATGTGATTTTTCAGTTGAAAAATGAGATTCGAATCTCAAAAAATCTAAGATTTGAATCCCAACAAGCTCTATAAATAGAGCTTGCAAACCAGACCAAAAAAAAAAAGAAAGAAAAAATGAAAAAAAAAAGATTCTGCGAAAAAAAAAAATGCAGAAACACAAAAAAAAAAAGCAAAAACAGTCCCCTGGAACGGGGAACCCAGCACCAAACTACACCTACAAAGACACCCAACGAAAACAAACCAGAAAACACACAAAAAAAGTGTTTTTTTACCGAAACTTTGAGCCTCGATCTACGTTGATTGGGGCTGTTTCCGGTGAAAAGGAGATCGGATCTAGAAAGAGGGCATCTAGAGGAGTCTTCGGTGACCTTCAGACCATTTTTCGATCACCGACGATAATCACCGACGGTGGACCAGGCGGCGACCGGACGGCGATCGGCCGAACCCCTCCCCTAGAGCTCTCTCTCTCTCTCTCATTTTTTTTCTGAAACAGAAGCCAAATGAATAAAAAAAAAAACCTTAAGCTATATATAGTAAAGCAAAAACTCAAAACGACGTCGTTTAGGGAAAGACCCAAAACGACGCCGTTTCAGCGAAGGAGGATTCGTGCGTCAACCCGCGACCCGACCCGGGGTCCGCGCACCCAACCCGCGACCCGTTTTCTTCATCTGCCTATGACCGGTCTAACTGGATCAGAACTAAACCGCCCAGACCAAATCGAACCGGTACTGAACCGCACAGACCGAGCCGAATCGCCAGACCGAACCGTCGAACCGAACCAGACGTTGATCTGACCGTTGACCGATCCAGTTCAGGTAAAAAATTTTTTTATTTTTTTTATTTTATTAATATTTATGCATATTAAAATATCTATATTTGTTAGACTAATTGATGAAATTGTGGTTAAATTTTTTATGTAATTATGTTAATGAACTTTAAAAACAATTATATAAAAATAAATTTAATAATAATACTAAAGCAATAAAAAATGTAGGAAAAGAAAATTTTTATCCGACGATGAAATTCAAAGGTATTTCGAGTAGTGATGCCTACGAAATCTCTATGTGAGAAGGTTTTTTTAAATACTACCAGCGTATTGGAGTATTTATAAAAAATTTTCAATACAGTAAAGATTTTTTTTTTAAAATAATAAATAAAAATTGATTAATAAATAAAAAATATAAGTAATAAAAATAGGAAGAAAAGAAATTTAATCCAATGATGGGATTCTAAAAGTATTTCGAGTAGAGATGCTTTAAGAAATCTCTAGGTGAGAAGATTTTTTGTAAAATATTACCAGCGTATTGAAATATTTATAGAAAATCTTCAACATGATTAAATTCTTTTTTTTTCTTCAAATTCAATTAAATTAAAATTAAAACAATTAATAAAATTTAAAAAGAATAAAATGTGTGCATCAACATGTTATTATTTGCATTGCATACATGACATAATTTTTTACGAAAAGTAAATTTAGAACTCCCAAAGATGAGATTCTAAAAGTATTCCGAGTAGAGATGCTTTAAGAAATCTCTAGGTGAGAGAGAGTTCTTTTAATGTTACCAACGTACTGAAACATTTTAAGAATCATTTCAATAAAAAGGTTTTGATTTATTTTTCTCGAGAATAATTTTTAAAAAAAAAATCAAGAAAATTATTTTTCGAATACTAAAAATAAGATTGTTTTTATCAAAATCAAAGGATAACACGTTATTAATTGGTACCGTTTTTTTTACGGGCGCTGTAGGGATGCTAATCCTTCCCCACACGTAACCGACTTCCGAACTCAAACTGTTTCGTAGATCATAAAATTATCTTTTTAATTAATTTTAAGATTTTATTAAAAAGATATATTTTAATAGGTGACCAATCACACCTAACCAAAAAAGATTGATGACAACTCCGTTATTTTTTTATTTCTAAATTCGTCGGACGAACATAAAACCGTAACGACAGATTTTTTCCTTTTCTCCCTTCCATGTTTAGACCATAAAAGCATTTTCTCTCGAGTTAATAAAATAAAATCAATTAATCTTTTAAAATTATTCAAATCCAGTCATATCCATCAAACACTAATACGCATGTCAAATACAAAGCCATAAATGTTAATGGGACAGTTCCATAAAATTTAGCATATGTTTCGTCCAAATTTCATTAATAAATGTATCCAATTAAATAATGTCAGGTATCATAAATACGAGGATAGTTACAATGGAAAACATGAGGCTACCATTTTATAGTAATTAAAGTAAGAAAATAGAGAAAGAAAGTAGCAGAAAGAGGAAAGGAAAAAAAAAAAAAAAAGAGCTTTGAATACCCAAAACAACTAAAACGCACCGTTTTACTAAGCTTAAAAAGGACGATGTGGCACGCTGAGGGAGGGCAGAAGACAACTTTATATGGTAGTTTAGATCGTTTATCATTTAGAGGGGATTCAATTTCACTATCTCCCTATTTTTTTGGAGAATAATATCCTTTTTTAAGAAGAAGATAATTGTGCTTAAAAAATCAATTATTCAATAATAAAATAATTTCATGAAATGGATCAAATTCAAACTTAAAACTTTTATTTAAAACCTAGTTCGATTCGTTTTTGTCGAACTATTTGACTCCTAAACAGATTTAGTGATGATAATTATTTTGTGTCATTATGTGTATATTTAATTGTTTATTTATATTATAATTTAATATTTTATTCATTAATATATGAATGCTATATTTAAATTTTTTGTGGTTTAATATTAAAAATAATTTTTAAATTATAATAAAATGTTAATATAGTATTTAAACTTTAAAAATTTTTAATTTAGTATCTAAATTATAAATCGATTAATTAATGTGCTATTCATTTTTAAAGTGATTAATTTTAAATGATAATACTTAAAAAATAAATAAATTTTTAAATATTATATTAATTAATAAATTTATAATTTAAATATTATATTAAATATTTTTAAAATTCAAATATCATATTTAATATTACTTTATAAATTAAAAATCAATTATAGCATTAACTGAGAGTCTCCATGGGCTAGCCCATAATAAATCCATAGATAACACAATACACGTACCGTTTAAATGTGATTATTATGGGTCAACTCCTCAACACGATGCCGTTCTTTTTTTTCCTTACATATTTTGAAGCTAATCAATCATTTTTTAACATCATGATCCGTACGTAGATAATAGGTGAAAAGAAAAAAAATTTCTATATATGAAATAGCTTGGATAATTTTGTTACTACACAAAATTTCTTATATTTTGAAGCTAATAATCATAGGATTAATTCAAGAAGTTTCAATTATTTTCCCTTTTTTTCTTTTTCATTAATAACAAACAATAAATAAAGTTGTGTGCTTTAACTTTCTTTATAAATGTGTACTTAGAATATTTTTATTTACTTCCGTGACAGTCCAACAAATTTAACAATGGATTGTGGGAAAGCAATCTTTCGCGTTACTGTTGGGTGCCACAAGATAATTAATGGCCTACAGTATTAGTATTCATTTGATATTCAGACAAACACAAGGACGCACGCGCGCACACAGCACGCATGCGCAGATTTGTCAAAGAAAGGCTGGCGGCCAGCCAGGATTTAGACCAGTTGATATGATCATGGAAGAAATAGTTTTAAAGTTTTAAAATCTACTGCTGCATATTCCAGCACTTACCTATGATACTTGACCTGCAATATATTGTATACTGCACTAAGAAAGGAAAGAGGACAAAGAATTAGAGGAAGATACATACCTCCAAATACAGCAAGAATTTTTCGTCCTTATTGTTATTTATGAGTTTCCATGAATCCGGGGTCAAAACGAGACGACAACTTCTTTGCGACCCTATTTAATTATCTTGCTCTTTTCTCATCGAAATCTTGTAGAATATCCTTCATATTCCTTTCTCAATTTCTTGTTCTTACCCCAAAGCCTTGGTATCAACGTTTTTAGCCTTATTGTTCTTCTGTATAAAATAAGCCAAAAGAAACACAAAATCTCCAACCAGAAGGAGCTAATAAGCAAAGGTCACCCAAAACAAAATGGCCTCAAATAATAATCTAGCAGTGCTTCAAGCTCTTGACACGGCTCGTACACAATGGTACCATGTCAAAGCCATTGTTATCGCTGGCATGGGTTTCTTTACCGATGCCTACGATCTCTTTTGCATCACCGCTGTGTCGAAACTCTTGGGCCGCCTTTACTTCTATAATCCTGATAAACCCAGCACGCCGGGAAAGTTCCAACCTAACATTAACAACTTGGTTACTGGTGTAGCCTTATTCGGAACTCTTAGTGGCCAACTAGTCTTTGGATGGCTCGGGGATAAACTAGGTCGCAAAAAAGTATACGGGATCACTCTCATCCTCATGGTGATTTGTGCCATTTGCTCAGGTCTGTCATTTGGTTCCACCTCCGAATCTGTGATTGGAACCCTCTGTTTCTTTCGATTTTGGTTGGGTTTTGGCATTGGTGGTGACTACCCTCTTTCTGCCACAATTATGTCTGAATATGCTAATAAAAAAACCCGTGGGGCCTTCATAGCCGCCGTTTTTGCAATGCAAGGTGTGGGGATTATATTTGCTGGGTTAGTTTCCATGATTCTTTCAGCAATCTTTCTTAAGCTCTACAAAAGGCCGTCATTCAAAGAAGACCCAATCTTCTCCACCCCACCTCAAGCAGATTATCTATGGCGGATTGTGCTAATGTTCGGTGCCTTACCAGCTCTTTTAACGTTTTATTGGCGGATGAAGATGCCCGAAACTGGTCGTTACACTGCTCTTATTGAAGGAAATGCCAAACAAGCTGCCGCTGATATGGGTCGGGTCCTTGACATCAAACTCGAAGAGGAAGAAGATAAGCTTTCCCAGTTCAAGGCAGCAAACCAGTACCCATTACTATCCTCTGAGTTCTACAGACGCCATGGGCTTCATTTGATAGGTACTATGACCACATGGTTTTTATTGGATATTGCTTTCTACAGTCAAAACCTAACACAAAAGGATATTTTCCCTGCTATGAATCTCACCAAAAAAGCTGCTGATGTCAGCGCTCTAGAAGAAGTCTACGATAACTCACGTGCCATGTTCATCGTTGCTTTGCTTGGTACATTCCCAGGGTACTGGTTCACCGTCCTTTTCATAGAAAAGATTGGCCGCTTCACCATTCAACTAGTTGGCTTCTTCATGATGTCTATATTTATGCTGATTCTTGGCCTCAAATACCAGTATCTCAAAGACGAAAATAAGTCGTTATTTGCTGTTCTCTACGGGCTAACGTTCTTTTTTGCCAACTTTGGCCCCAACAGTACAACCTTTGTGCTCCCGGCGGAGCTGTTTCCTACCCGGCTGAGGTCCACTTGCCATGCGCTGAGTGCGGCGTCAGGGAAGGCAGGGGCAATAATTGCGGCTTTCGTGGTACAAAAATTTACATTGTCCGGGGAAGCTAGCAAAATCAGGCGTGCCCTCATCTTTTTGGCCTTTACAAATATGTTGGGATTTTGTTTCACATTCCTGGTGCCAGAAACCAGAGGTCGGTCTTTAGAGGAAATTTCAGGCGAAGATGGTGGTGGCCAGAATGAGACTCAGATGGCCGCCAGACGATCGGTTACTATGCAAGGAAGCGACCGCTTGGAAGCTAATTGAAGGGTAAATTATTGGCCTTGGAGGATGATCATACAATTATACCTAGCTAACTAGTTTGAAGTGTGATGGAAAAAAAAAAAACCTGTTCAATAAAAGCGGTGAAAGACAACAGATTTTTGCCTTTGTTTTTGTAATTTTGTTTGTTTAGTAATTTCTGCGTGATCTATGAATAAAAACTGCAACCGTTGCTCTCTAGCCCATTGTCTAGCATTGCCAAAGGGTGATTTCATTTTTTACCCTTTATGTAATGGTAAGCTGTCAACTTAGTTAAAAGCAAATTAAGTGATCTATACAAAATAATTTGATTTAACTTAATAAATTTATTATCACCGAGTCTTAAAATCATTTACTATTTAGGATCAAATTGAGGCTTTGTTTGGACCTAAATAAATGTTAACGTCATTAACTTTTTATAAAATTCCATACAAACATTTTTCTGAGAAAGTGCCAAATAAAAAATAAAACATTATTGATATCAATAAAATGATACCAACTCATATGATAAATTTAATCGAGTACAAGGACTTATATTATATTTTAGCCAGAAAAAATACAGAAATACTATTTTGATGCATCGACAACAAATTTAATTGGAAAATATTATATAGATATAAGAAATATACATAATATACACACATAACTGTTTCGTAATGATATTTTTGAAAAATAAAAAAAAAATTGGCTTTGTTTATTAGATTAAAATTTTGATACGAAAAATAAAATAAATTGTCTACATAAATATATATATATTTTTATGTGTATATAAATTTTTTTCATTCTAATTCTAGCTAGCTCCTTGTTTTAGGGACTTACCGAGGGGATTAAAGAGGCTATGGAATTTCTTTTTTTTTTTTTTTTAATATTAATTATTACTTGGCCTTCCCTAGATTTCTTAAAATGTCAGTTTTAATGCAAAATCTTTTTAGATAATTCCATTATATCTTTACTTGATCTTTCTAATTTTTAAAGTGCCACCTTTATTCAAAATTTTTTTTCTTATATTCCTTTTATCTTTACTTGGCCTCTTACAAATTTTTTTATTTAAATTTAGCTTATTCAAAAATTGTTATTTATAAAAAAAAAAAAATTTTACATGACTCAATTTATCAAATAAATATTCACAAATCTATACATATATATATAATTAAGTTTTTAATTCATCGTATTTCTTTAAGTATTTTTTATAATATAATAATTAGTTTCAACTTAGGTCACACACAAAAATGCAAACATATTTTTAATATTCAATGTGGATACAATTTTAATTGTATATAACTATAATATTGACGTGTAATGGAGTGAAACGCGTCTAAATATATAAATTTCATTATTGATTGACATTATAAATCTAATTAACAAGTTTCTTAAAAAAATTTAAATTGAAACTATTTTCTCAAGAACATAAGTTTAAGAATTTAAATAAAACTAAAATTTTAATTTTAAATTGATAAGAATATGTAATATTTTTATTGTCACTCAGAGGGAAAATAATTTCACATCTAATAGTCAATAATTGAACTATGACTTTATAAGCAATGCTCTAATTTATTTTTATTTTATTGAGACACATTTTTAAAAAATAAAAAGAGTTTATATTTGATATAATAATAATGTATAAGTCTTATATATTGTTAATCAATCATATTGTGATATTGCACTAATAAATAAAATTAAAATTATTAAGTCCTTACAGGTAAATAATAATAAATTTATTTAAATTTAATTTATTTTTAAGTATTTAATTACTTTTAATTTTACCTATTTTGAGGTGTCATCATATAATTTATTGATACTTAGGGGTGTTCAAAATTAAATTTTAATTAAATTAATCGATAGAATTAATTTAATTCAATTAATTAGTCGATTATCAAATTAATATTAGTTTGTTATAAAAAATTATTTTTAAAAAATTTTATTTTTTTGGTTAATCAAGTTAAAAAATCAAATTAACCAAAATTTTAATTAAAATATAATAAAACCTATATATATAATTAAAAATATATGAATTGTCTTTAATGCTTTGATATTTGAATATTTTTGTTGGATAGTTTTATTTAATTTGTTTCATATATGAGAAATTAAAAATTTAAATTAATAAATTTTATTATTTAATTAACCAAAAATTTAATCGTACCCATTTAATTAATCTTGATTAATTAATTTTTAAATTAAAAATTTTAATTCAATTAATAAAAATAAAATAATATAATTCATTTACTTTGACTCGAAATTAATCTAACTCATTAAATGAATACCTCTATTAATAGTATATGTGTATCAAATATTAATGCAAAAGCAAAAGCATTAGCAAAATAATACTAAACTCCCAAAACGAAAAATAACTTATATTAATGGGTGCAATCTAACAATTTTTACATCAACGTTGGATTATGTTATTTATAAAAAATCATATTGGACTCTCAAAGAAAACACAATCTATACCATTGGCTAGAGACTAGTTTTGAAGAAATAACAAAAAATTGAACCGACTTAAAAATAAAGACCTATATGATCTTTACAAAACCGTAAGAGATGAACGAATATCAACTTCAACTTTAACATTTCAATCTGGGCCCCGTTCCCCTACTGGTTTCAATTTCTCGAAGAAATCTGTTTCAACACAAAGCAAATTGTACAAAATGTAAACAATGGGAGTTTCAATTTCCCGCCACCAAGATCTGAAAAAGTAAGTTGAATTTCGGATTTTGTGGGTTACAAAAAAAAAAAAAAAAGATCTTTACCGTGAGAGGAGGGACCGCACTGGAAAAAGTCAAACTTCGAACGTCAACAACAGAAAGAGCGGTAAACCAAACACTAGAAATATACTAACATTTAACATTTCCTTCCCCAAAATTCCCTCGCTTTACCTCCACTTGAGAAAAGAAATGGGACATGGAGATCGAGGAAATCGAGGCAGTTCTGGAGAAAATCTGACACTTACTCGACAAGCTCAGCGACGCCATTCACTTGATTTCTCGAGCTCACTTGCTTAACTCTTCTATCAAAGACCAAAGAAAATCCGACAAGGAGAACCTCTATAAGGACGACGTCGATGACCACAAGAGGAGTGGCTTCGTGTTCGTCAAGGGCTTTCGAATCGACGATGGTGACTCCTCAATTCAAGAGGCCAAGAGTCCTAATGCTATCGGAACCGCTCTCGAGAATCTCGAGGACCAGCTCGAATTTTTCCACGTCAGTTTAACTCCTTTATTTTTTATTGTGGTTTTTGACTGGTTTTGATTTATGTAAAAAATAACGGAAAGTGGATAGGAAATTGATTTTGGTATCCTAGGGTTAGTTTTATATATATAATAATTGTAAAGTAAATTCAATATACGAGTGACTATGAAAATGGCTCAATATAACTAAAAGAAAGGAGCTCTAGTTCTTTTAATGGGATGTAAATTTCTAATTTTGCTTCTAGTTCTGCACATTTTACTTTAAGTGTTTGGTTGTTAAGTAATTGAAGGGAAATTCGGGGAAAAAGAAAGGACAATTCGATTCACAGATTGCTTTTTGTGTTGATTATCTAGTTATTGCATCGATTTTGGATTTGTTGATTTGAGGATAATATTATCCAATCTATATTATACAGAATCGATTGTTGAGAACTCAGCTTCGAAAATAAGTAGTTGTTATTGTTATATAGGGAACTGAGAAACTACTTATTACATTTGATACAATGGTATAAATGTGATTGTGAAGGTTTTGTGTTTGGATTGAGGCATATATTTAGAAGGAACAAAGCCAAGAAGGAATCATCCAGGCAATTGTTCAATTTTGCACATTCAAGCTTTGTTTCGTAATGGCTTCTTATGAGGGAGCTTATGATGTCTACTATCTCTTGTATAGAAATGGAGCTAAGCTGAAATGAACTTACTTTAGTTTTGTGGATTCTAGAGTCCGGAGAGAATGGTGAGATGATGAGATATAATAGGATTTGGGAGTATCAGAAGGAACAAAGCCAAGATGACGAGGAGATATAGAAGGATTTGGGAGTATCATCACAAGATGCATGAAAGTTGGTCAGAGATGGCTTTATGCTGTAACTAACGACCGCATTACATTAGCATGCAGAAGCATTATGTGAATTTCATTGAAGGTTTTATAATTGCAAAATGTAAGAGAAGGAATTCGATTTGATTTGCAATGCTAGGAAATGCACTAGTTTGCACCCAAGAATGTTATTAATCCTAATATCTTGCTTCATAACCTCAAGTGAAAAAACGCTGGGTTCAATTCTTGAGGTGATGTGGTGTTCGTGTTAAATTAACTTATATCTTTCTGATCTTTCCAGTTTGCTTTAAATTTTAAGTCATGACAATTTTTTGGATATCATTAAGTAGCATGCACCTGGATCTCTTATAGATATCTCTTCGTTCATTTTTATAGACTGTACAAATACAGGCTGAAAGAGATTCTGCCATTGCACGATTAGAGCAAAGCCGGTTAATTCTTGCATTGAGATTGTCTGAGCACAATGGTAAGAAGTACAAAGTAATTGATGAAGCTGTAGCTTTTGTGGGAGATGTACATGATGCTAGCTGTTTTTTATCACCTGAAAACCTTTACAATGCACCAGTTAGTCCATGTGGGGAGAATTTTGTGTCACATGAAGGGAAGCACTCTAATATGTTCATCAAAGTTCTTTCTAGCTTCTACTCTGCAAAGAAATCCCTGAAATTTGATCATTTGGGTGGGATGCTAAGAAATGCAGATCTATTTGCTCTTAACATGATAGCAATGTTGCATCTGCATCAGATTGCTTTTACAGAGCATCCAGAGAGAGAAGGAGATAACATCAACAGCTACAGAAATTTGAGAAAGAATTCTAAACTGGAAGGGCCTTCGTCCTATGGTCATTTGAGCCACTTGGATGTGTTTTTGGCCCAGGGTTAAGGAGAAGACACAAAATTTGGTTCAAAGTTAATTAAAAGATAGGATGCCATGCTGTGCTGTTTTTTAAAATTTCAAGAAGCTTTGTTGTCTTTCAGTTTCTTCCCATGGGAGTTTCAAGGTTTTTGGTGAGCATGTTGGCAAAGAATTGGTCCCTAGTTTATGTAACATCCTAGTTGTAGCTGTTGTCAAAATGCTGATTGCTCTAGCTGGTATCATTATTGAGGCACATATACCTTATTAGAAATGATTGTGTAGCAGGGAATCCCAGATTACAGAGTATTATCTTTTTCTTACCTCCACTATTCTCAGTGTATACCCCTATTATTTAGCTGATATTTTCCATGTTTATGCATGCCTAATCTTACTACAATTTTTACCTTTTAATCTCTCTCTCCCTCTCTGTTGTGCCCCGTTTCCAACTTGGTATCTGATATATGT